AAGAAAGTAATCCTATATAATTATATGTATATACACACATACATGTAAGAAAGTAATCCTATATAATTATATGTATATACACACATACATGTAAGAAAGTAATCCTATATAATTAGATATGTATATATACACACACATACATGTTAATTATATAGGATTACTTTCTTACATGTATGTGTGTATATACATATAATTATATAGGATTACTTTCTTACATGTAGGTGTGTGTGTGTATATATATATATATACATATCTAATTATATAGGATTACTTTTTTGATATGCACAATAATAGATTCCACATATCATGTTTCTTCATGAAGCCCAGTTTGCCCCTGAAGAAGAAAGGTCCACCGATCGAAAGCTCTCTGGTTTTAAGGGGTTTTATTTCTATCAAGACTACTTGAACCGACGTGTTTGTCTAACATCATGATATACACAAAAGTTTTTTAATTAATTCAGTACTACAATTATGTCTAGTTTCATGTAATGGGGATTTTTTTAATAGCACTTTTATACTTAATTCATATTTCTGAAGTTTTATGAAGTATGTGCATTTCAAAAACTCAAACTTGATTACATTATACATATTACGGTTTAGCATAATTTCAAAATTTAGGACCTTGTGAGTGTACAATGTTTATAAAAACAATCTACATTTACGGTTGTATGTATGTCCTATCGTATCAAATATTATCCTAATTTATATTGTTTTTATTCATTCATAGTTTCATATTATACAACCATACGATTATTATATTTCTATATATATCTTACGAACCTATACATACAACGTTTTGACATCATTTCATAATTTATGACCTTATAAATATCACGTTATTACATAATTGTATATTTTTGCAACTTTATGAATTCTGTGTTTTACTTAATTCTAGTTAAAATCTTGCATTCTCTAGAAGTTAATGTTACGTTTTGTTATTTTTGTGATCTATAAAAACGATCGCTTTCACGCAAGAATGTTCAAAATAATTTGAACTCATAGATCTTAAATTCAAACATTTTAAAGGAACACTAACTAAAATGTCCCTCGGTGGGTCAGAAATCTAGGGTACAGTTCCTTGCGATGGACAGAGTGCAGATAACCCATTATTAACCTTTGCGTTAAAATAACACCGATGAAGTAAAATATTCATAACATCATGAACTAACGAAGAAATAAAATGCTTATTCGTGAATTTCTTTTATTTATTGTCGCTTGGTGGGACAGCGGTAAGTTGACTGACTTACAACACTAAAATCCGGGGTTCAGTTCCCCGTGGGATACAACAGATAGTCCAATGTGGCTTTGTTCTAAAAACATACTTTTATTTATTTTCATGATCATTCAGAAACAAATCCTAGATCAGGATGTAGTGTTAAAAAACATAGGCTTAACATAATGTCTTATGACAAATATAATTCATTATATCATGCTTCACTAGTTTCTAAAAGGCGTCCACACAATAATACATTATTAGGGTTCAGTTCTTTCCGCCTATTCCATTGTTTATAGATACCGAAGTTGTCCTTTTCTGTTGTGGATATTGTTTAATGGAACAATAATGCCCAACTTACACATATTTATATCCTGTAAAGTGTACGCTGCCTTCAACTTGTGGAACGCCGTATATATTTTCAATTTAACTAAAGTAACAAGTTTTGTTTGGCCTACTCAGAAAGAACAGGTTAAAGATGTGAAATACTTTCCATAATGTTGATAAATATGATACCAATTTGTACAGATTTGAACTTATAAGTTGAACATTTTAGATATCTGAGGGTGGTGTCGTGTGTCACTTTGAATCCAACTACGTGAATGGAGTATTCTATTGATATTGTAGCTCATCAATATTTTATCGTGCATAGGGTAACGAAACACCGTTACACCTGGCGGTACGACATGGAAATCTTCGAACTGTCGAACTTTTACTTGAAGATGGTGCCCAAATTCAATCCCAAACAGAGGTATATTTTGAAAAACATAGTAATACATCATTCAAGCAGTTCTAACATTCAAACAACTGAGAAAGCTCGTGACATTTTGCTTATAAAGAACTTTTTCCTAGAACTGATTCTTATTTTTATCTATAGTTTATATAAATATATTTAAAGCTTTATGTGGAAATGTTTTTTTTTGCTTAAGTCATTGGCTATTACTGAGTCGCTGTTTTAAATATTTTATTATTTTCTATGTTCGGTACTTTCTATGTTTGACGAATTCTACTCATACAAACAGATCCACTTGCAAAGCATTTCTTGTAAAAACGTGCGAACGAAGTCATCGGAAAGTATGTATTTCATAAATATCTTAGAATACTCGAAAAACTAACTTTTCTGGATGTTCAATTCTAATCTTGCTCTAAACTAAAACATTGTAATAAATGTGATATTTGTCAATGTTAGAACGTACCCACAAGAAAAATGTGCAAATATTGTAATCATAATTCGATTCCTTTTCAAATGTTCTTTAGGCTTACCCATAGATAGATACATATGTTATTCCACATGTAACCAAAGCGTTCAGTAGATTCAAAATTTACATTTAAGAACGTTTGAGATATGACTTCCATCTGTAGATTTTTCGGTATGTGTCTGTCAGTTAGCGCTTATGAAGCATGTCGAACGTATTTTTAGAACTGAAAATACGTAGCAAAAGTTTCATTTCTCAATTTGAAAAAAATGCATGAGAAAGTCTCAATGGAATTCCTGAATGTAAATCAAGCAATTACTGATGTTGCGTGAATTGTATCATTTATAACGTTATAAACGTTGACATTCTCTGACGTCAGAAGATTAACTCTTTTTATTCTAAGTCATTTCTAGCTTACTAAATATCTTCTGAAAGAAATTTTTCGCAAAGTTGCATAATTTCAAAAAGAACAAAAAAAAAACCAACAAAAAACAGCGCTATTATGCGTGTAACAGGGTTTCACATAAGTAATATAACGTAAGTGTAATATAGTAGCGTATAAATAAACAGATGTCTTACAATTACAATTTCTAATTAAACAACAAGCTTGCATGATATAAATTTTCTGACTGAGGTACATTACTTTACGTGCACTCGTTGATTTTCTTTGAAAATAAGTAAAATATTAAATGTTAAGTATTAGAACATCAGAATGTTTTCACAAACCAGCCTTGTGTGTTTGTTAATTTATTGTTGCCACCTTTGTTAATGCGAAAAGTCTTATTTACTTTTCTTTTGCCCGGCATGGCCAGGTGGTTAGGGCACTCGACTCGCAATCTGAGAGTCGCGGGTTCGAATCCCCGTCCCACCAAACATGCTCGCCCTTTCAGCCGTGGGGGCGTTATAATGTGACGGTCAATCCCACTATTCGTTGGCAAAAGAGTTGGCGGTGGGTGGTGATGACTAGCTGCCTTCCCTCTAGACTTACACTGCTAAATTAGGGACGGCTAGCGCAGATAGCCCTCGTGTAGCTTTGCGCGAAATTCAAAACAAACAAACAAACTTTTCTTTTAAGGATCCCTAGTCTTCATAAAATTTTGATCGAACAAGCTCAGGAATTCTCAATAACCGGTTAAATAACTGACTGAATTTCCCAGTAGAACTTGCAATGTTCTAAAGTAGTATGTTTTGATATAGTTTAATCTGAAAAACCATACATTTCCTTCCCTATTTAACGAGAAAATATTTGAGTGACAATTAGGTTCGACCAACATTTCGAAAGACAATAATGGCGCCGCGGAATGAGAGACTGGGTAACTAGAAGCGTTACAACATTATGCTTTTAGCAATCTTATATATTGCACTGTTTTTCATTATAGCAGACATTTCTACTGGACTCGAGTCACTTTTTTCAAAATTTATGAAAATCCTGGCAAAAATTGTGTGTTATACTATTAATTTCTATTCAAGTAAGGAAAAGAGTGACCATTCTACATTCATTCATTCATTCATGATGTTTTATTTTTATATTTTTGTTAAAGGTGAATGAAAACATACAAATTTATTTTGTTTCTAACTCCGTGTTTTTTTAAATTAGTTTATTCGTTAAAGGTTGTACAATATTAGACTGCTCAAATTTACTTGAATTGGTTTATTTGTTGTAAGTTTAAAGCAAGGTTCATACGGTTCTTGTGGTGGAAAGTGGGAGAGGAGGGGGTACAACCGATTTGGACCAGAAACAGATAATTTGTCTCTGTTAGTCTAAGATGTCTGAGTCAATAAATACTAATATTAGAAGAAAGAAAATATGAATCTTACCTCCAAGTATATTTTACATAAAAGAGAAATATATATATATACAATAACCGAGCAATATATATATACATTCGATTCCATGCCCGAAAAATGCATCTGGTGGTAATACTTAATTCTTTCAACAAATAAGTTAGTCTAATTTGGGCAAGCCTTTACGTTTCAACAAATATAAAAGGAGAAATATAAACTAATAAATAACCGTGAAATTTGTTAATTTAGCAAAAAACACTCTTCAAAATTCAGAACGCGTGTTGATATTAAAAAAAAAAAGATATTGGACATTCAGATCAAATCAGATGATTTCAAACTGTAACTCAAATCTTAATGAATATTTGTCTTCAGTGAAATCCACCTGGTGAGCTAATAGAGACTTACATTGCTCGAGACTGCAGACCTTAGGTGGTCATGATATAGGTTTTATGCTACAAATTCATCATTTTATATATTTTTTTACATTGACATAGTATCAGCTCATGCGTGCATGGCAACTTGAATAGAAAATGTAAATAAATTTACTTTGTATTCATATTAGTTCGGCGAAACTGCATTACATATTGGTGTGAAAAATTGCCGTTTTCAAGTGGTCAAGTGTCTCCTGACGTACTGGGCCAGTACATTTTCAGGTCAGCAAGGTCTCTTCTCAGTGAACCAACAAAACCAGGTAAAAAACCCACTTCTGAGTTAATGTGCCATAATCGTCTTGAACAGAAATATTTCAACAGAAATAACTTTAAATATTAAAAAAAACTTTACTATATCGTTAATAACTGAGCTTTAAACAATACAAACTCTAATCCTGTACGTTAACCGCTGATTTATTTATAGTTATTTTGGGAAGTCAGCAATAATGAAGAGAAATTAATAAAGTGGTAGAAATTGGAAACTTTTACTATCAGTGAAACTACATACAAATAGAAAACTTCCTCTTTATAGTTTAATTTCTGTGGTGCATATTGGTGTATAGAAGACATATTAATACTAGAAATAAACGACCTTATAACACCAAAATTTTCGGTTTGTGTTTTAGTGAACGCTCCTGAAGAATCTGTAAAGCGAAACGTTGTGTGTAAGGTCGTTTATTTCTAGTATTCCTATTCATAGTGTGTTTTATAAGAAATAAATTCCGACAGAAAATGTTTTAAAATTAAAAGGAATAAAATACAATATATATTTCGTTGAAAACTATAAATAACGACTAACTCTTCCACCCGTGTGTTTAAGCTTATGTTCTTGTTATTTGAAAAAACTATATTATTACTTTGTTTAAACTCTGGTGCAACAATTTTAGAAAGGAGAAACAGCACTGCACTACGCTGCCGCTCTTACACCAAACCAACATCATTACGTCGGTGAATCACGAGATATTGTTAAAATACTTCTACAAAATGGAGGAAATGTTACCATGGAAACAACTGAGGTGAATAGTTTGGGATCTGCTGGATTTTAAAACTTTATTTGAAAGCAATCCTCGATTTTTTTTTCTTTGTCAAACTTTTGTTACTTTTCCATATTAATTTTATACTGGAATTGTTTGGGATACAAAAAGTGACTTCGGAAAATGGCTTCAAATGATACATACAAAGGCAGAGATTTATACTGAGGTCAGTTTTGCAGTGAAAACTGTTAGTAATATATTAAGACTAGGACAATATTTTAAAAAGTTTTATTAGTTTTTCTGTTTTGATTTTTAAGTCTGAGATTTAAAAAAATAAGAATAAGAAAGCGGACATTTTTGTTTAAGATGCTTGTTTTTATTTTGTGGATATGTATTTAACCAAAAATGCCTTTTTGTATGCTAAATAACAATTTTATTATAATAGGTTGGATTACTTGCCTGTGAAAAATAGAGTACCGGGCATGACCAACTGTCTTTCTCTTCCTTTCAACAATTTTATTATAATAGGTTGGATTACTTGCCTATGAAAAATAGAGTACCGGGCATGACCAACTGTCTTTCTCTTCCTTTCTATTTGCATAAAGAACTATATATTTGTTTACACATACATAATCATAGTTTTATGACAGGTGAATTATATTTTTCATCTTATTTCTATTAACTCTAATCATGACATTATTTCATTTCGAAGTGGAAAGAAACGCCCTTACATTACTGCAGCAGAGCTGGCAACGTAGAGAGCATGCGCGTAATCTTAGAGTCACTGGAACCTTCTGATCTGCAAGCACTTTCGAACAGAAAATCTAAGGTGAGAATCAAATGTGTGTACATTTTATACAAAGATAAATTATTAATATAACCGAGAAAATTGTTTATCACGTAAAAGCATTCCGGTACATGTGATCGCTGAATTATATTTTCTTTTGAAGCCCCAGATAAGATATATTATCTCCATGTAATTAGTGGAAAACATTGTATGATATTACCTTTTACTGTCCTTTTGTTTAATCTTCTAGACTTCTTACAATATTTGAATCAAAATATTCGAAATTCGTGAAGTTGATTTACATTTTGTCACGACTATAAATATTAATAAAAGCAGAAACAGTCAAGTAATATTCAAAGGATTTTCGTATCATGTACTGTCAGAAAATTGAAATTCATTGAACGTTAATTTCTCAACAATAAAATACCAAGTATTACAAATATACCACTACCAAGAGAACATCAACAATTCATGGCAGTATGTACTAATATTGGTAGTGAAGTTTTATTGTTTGGCTTAAAGTTGACATACGCTTTTATGTTAATTGGTTTTACATCCATTTTTTGAATCAACAGTATAGGTTCCAATGGTTTTATTTCCTACTTCATAAACTTCATTGTTTATATCGAGAAGGAAACCCAGAGGTGAATATAATACAATCTATTGTGATCTTATTGTACGTTTTCCATTTGTTGTTCATCGAATTAACAGATAATCCGTTTAAATTTTGGAATATCAGCGCTCGAAATCATAAGATACTAATGGACGAAAATAACAAATTGGGACCACGCTTGCGCAAATAAATACATTAGCGCCCACAGCGACAAATACGGAATTACAAATTTGGGGAGGTACATCCTTTCAAAAAAACAGCTAAGATTTATTTTATATTCATAATACTTTGTTCATCTCTTTTCCAGTTTTTCTGTTAATAATTGTTAGTTACTAAAGCATATCAAAAACTATTTTACTGAATAAAGGGAAAACTATTAATATAACATAATGTTTTGGGACAGCATGGGACTTATTGGTTCATCTCAGCTGTTCCATCCTCTAAACTAAATTGAAATAATTAAAAAAATCTTAAAGCCAGCCCTTATCATTCATATACTTATCAAGCTTGTTCTTAAACTCACTTAAATTTATTGCCTCTACAACATCTGAAGGTAACCTATTCCAAAGGCCAACCACACTTTTAGAAAAATGAAACTGTCTCAACTGAAGATGACTCCTACGTTGCCAAGATTTATATTTGTGTCCCTAGTCCTACTATTCTCACTGTTAACTATGAAAAAAGATGATGCATCAACACTATCAATTCCCTTTACAATCTTAAACACCCCAATCAAATCCCCCCAACTCTTCAGTTTCAGAGATTTCAACCTCTCCTCGTATACAACTCCTCCATTCCAGGCACCATTCTAGTAACCTTTCTCTGAACCCTTTCTAACAATTCAATGTTTTTCCTAAGGCAAGAAGCCCAAGAGTGAAGTCAGTATTCCAAATTTGATCTAACCAGTGACCTATACAATGAAAGTATCACCTCCTTAGACTTGTATTCAACATTTCTGTAGATACAACCTAAAATCCTTTTTGCCCTACCACTAGCAACAGCACACTGCTTGGGTAGCCTTAGAGACTAATCGACTTATGTCACCAAAATCCCTTTCCTACATAACATTGTTAAGGTTATTCCCATTCAAATTATACTTATAATTCAAATTATGATAACCCACATGCATTATCTTGTTTTTATCATAATTAAAACCCATCTGCCATTTATTTGCCAAACTCACTAAATGATCTAAATCCTTTTGTAAATCACCAGCATCCTCTTCACAGCTAGCAACACCCAAGACCTTAACATCATCTGCAAATTTAAGTAATTTATTGACCATTTCTTTATCTATGTCCTTAGTGTAATCAAAAAGAGCAAAGGTCCTAAGACTGAGTCCTGAGGAACCCCACTTGTGACATTAATCCAGTTTGATTGAACTCCATTTATAACAACCTTCTGCTTTCTTCCATCCAGCCAATCTTCTATCGAATTACTTATTTCCTACACCTATAGAGATAATGTTTTTACAAGCCTATTATGTGTTACCTTGTTAAAGGCTTTCTGAAAATCCAGATATGTCAAATCGCCACCCTTACCCTCATCTAAATAAGCAGTAACCTTTTCAAAGAATGTCAAAAGATTCGTAAGGCAAGATTTTCCCCTTAGTGAAACCATGTTGACTATCCAATAAAGTTATAAACTTTGTTAAATGACTTTGCAAAGTATCTTTTAACAGACTTTCCAAACTTTTCCCCACAATTGAAGTAAGACTAGTGGGTCTATAATTATTGGGACAATTTTTATCACCTCCCCTGAAAAGAGGAGTTACATTAACTAACTTCCAATCCTCTGGAATCTGCCCACAATTCAAGGGCTGACAAAAATAGTAGTAAGTGGCTCACATATCTAATCTTTAGCCTCCTTCAAAACCCCTGGGGAAATATTATCTAGCCCAGGAGACTTATCGTTTTTTAAACTTCCCAATATTTTCTTCACCAGCTCAGAATTAATGCAGTCATCTTGTTTGATCTCATTTACATTTATCGAATGTCCAAGATGTGGAATTATGCTTAAATCTTCGTTAGTAAAAACCGAAGAAAAAGCTAAATTTAATAACCCAGCCATCTCATAATCATCAGATACTAGCCTTCCTTTATCATTCGTCAAGGGTAATACCCCCACCCTAACATTTTGTTTACCCTTAATGTATTTAAAGAAATGCTTACTGTTAATTTTTACATTTTCAGCCAACCTTTTGTCATACATTCTTTTTGATGTCCTAATTTCCCGTTTCACCAACTTTCTTGATCTTCTATAATCTTCTAAATCTCCTGTCATACCAGACAATTTCAATTTCTTAAATTTATGATGGTTTTTTTTTATTTTATCTCTTAAACTCTTTATGAGCCAACCTGGATTTTTACTTGCAGCTACCCTATTATTTTTATAAGGAATATGTTTACCTTGAATATTTAAAAATTTATCTTTTAACATTTTCCAAATCTGATCAGTGTCTCCAAATACCCAATTCACAACTGATATTTCTTGTCGCATCCCTTCAAAATTTGCTTTTTGAAATTTATAACCAAAATATCATTATTCCTTATCTCCATATGCAACAGAACATCAAACCTAATAGAGATAGCATTGTTTCTAGTAGATTCCTTGACTAATTGGTGAAGAAATCCATCTTGTACTGTTTCCAAAACCCTTTCTCCTTCATGGTTTGACTCTAGAATTTCCCAATCTATATGCTTGAAATTATAACCTCATTAACAGCTGAAATCTTACTCTCACTGTAAAGTTTTTGACTAATTTCATCATTATTATCTAGCGGTTTTTAACAAATTTCCACTACAAGTCTTTTCCTTTTACATTCACTAATAGAAACCCATATGGATTCAATTTCCTTGCTATTATCTTTGATATCCCCAACTTCAACAGGATGTAACTCACATATTACATATAAAGCCACTCCTCCCCTCTCTTTAGTTCTCTATCTGTCTTAAATAGTCTGTAATCCTTTATTTCAATAAAATTTCTGTCATCAAAATCATCTACATTTAATCATGTTTCAGTTATTCCTATTATATCAAAATCCCCCATTTCTACCAGTACTCTAAAGTCATCTATTTTATTTCTTATACTTCTAGCATTACAATAGTAAAAATTAAGTCTATCCTTGTAACTACTTCTACACTCGTTTCCTATGCTAAACTTTTTTGCCTGTTACTGTTTTTGCATTTAGTTTTTCCTGGCTCTCGCAACTGTCTAGTCCCAGTTTAAACTTTTCTTACAGCTGAGTTAATAGACTTAGCAAACAAGACAGCCCTATCCAATTTAAATGTAAACCATCCATTCCAAAAAACTCACTTCTTCCAATGAACTGATCCTTCAAGTCCAACCAGCCAATCTGCTCATCATTACATACTAACCACAATTGGTGCGATTTTACGAAGACCTGTAACTTGTAATTTAGCGCTAGTGACCTACTTATAACTTCATCCTCACAGTTAATTCTGGGCAGTATCCATGACAAAATTAAGTTATGGCCTTTTTCTTTAAATGCCCTTATCCACCCCTTGTACTTATTAATTAGCTCCTCTGATCTACCTTTCCCTACATCATTAGCCCCTACATACACCACAAAAACTGTATCTCTGCTAGCCCCCTTTATCATATCTCCTGCTCTGTCAGTTATATCCTCCAACTGTGCCCCTGTGTAGCATAAACTAATTCATTTCTCCCTATTTACCCCACAGACTTTTCTATCCACATGCCTTGTCAAGGAATCATCTATAACTATAATCTCCTTATCATTCACATCCTTCTCTGACCCTTTTGTTTTTCTTCCCTCCAATAGTTCCTCATCTGTAGAAGCCAAGGGCTGAAACTTGTTGCTCAATAGAATAGAGAACGATAGTGTATTTGATTCTTTGAAACAGATTATATTTAACAAATAATGGAGGTATTCCACATATTAAACAATTAAAACTATAAACAGGTAAAATGGGATTGAAAAAATAACATCGTTTTAGTTGTTTATTATTTTTAAAGATTATTTTAGGTCAAATCATTTTATTTACAAATTCCATTGTAACGCTACAAAACATTATACATTTGATAATATTAAAAAAAAGATTTTAAAGTAGATTTTCAAAGACCTTTGTATAAAATTATAAACACCACAGAAGAAAAGTTGTTAATATAAATTAGACATTTGTTGTTATTTCTTCGGATATTTACGCAAAACTACACAAGGGTCACCTACGCTAACCGTCCCTAATTTGGAACTTACTGATTACAAGGAGGCATCTAGTCAACAGCACCTACCGAAAGCTCTTGTGCTACTCTATTGAAATAGTGAGATGTGACCTTCACTCTTATAACACACCCATGACCTTAAAGTGTGGAGCGCGATAGGGAAAAGGCAGATGAACCATTTTAATTTTCTATCCGCTGTAACATAAAATAAAATAAAATGTAACTTGTTAAAAAAACGACATCTTTTATAAATGAAACAAACAACCCAACCATCCAACCATCACGGTATATACATGCGTAATCATACATGTGCATGTTTGTGTGTGTGTAGTAAAAATGCTAAAGACGCTAACTCTTTTGTAGGTTATACGATTTTTTTTATAAGGACTTACGTCACACATCCATTGATAACGCTTGTGAACATTTTTAACATTTGTAATGTTAGACTGATTCAGTGTTCTTATGAATACAACTTAATCACGAAGAAAAGTTTTTTGTGTAGCTTATAGTATAATTGTCCTTATGAGGGGAGGGGAGTACGACATAGCCAACCCTATATATGTCGTTAGTTATCATTCCAACTGTTTCTCCAATTTATTCGTATCACCGAAATAGAAACGACAAAACTTACTTGTTAGGGATAAAGTGGAAATACTCTCAGACTCGATATAAAGATGTTGGCGCATTTGTTTTCACTAAAGGCACGCTAATATCTGTCTATTGGTTGTTAAAATATAATAATATTATGTATAAAGCTTAACACATAGACGATAAGTATATATTAGTACGGAGAGCTTAGGATAAATTTAATGTTGTTCATAGTGACCCAAGAATTGTATTATTAGCATTGCTAAATTATTCACTATGAATTTTACCCTAAATTTTACGTTTCTGCAGCTTATTAAGCTTACTGATCTATAGGTGTGGAGCTGGAAAACGACAAATACCAGCCCCACAATCACAATACTTTTTCATAGTAACGCTTTTGTATTTTAAATGAGAAACAAATTAGAAACAATATATTTTTATTGGGAATGTAAATATCAATCTATGCAAAGGAAGTGAATTGTGTTGAATTGATCTTAAAAATGCATTATTTGTAATGCATATCGGAAAATTAAAATTTTGGTTCATTTGGTGCGATTTTACGAAGACCTGAACCGCAAGGTTGAATTAAAAAATAATAATGAAGTTATCTCGTACGTATGAGTTATTATGACGTACGTACGAGATGGCCCTATTATTATTATTTTTTAACCTTGCGATTCAGGGCCTTCCGTGGAGCATTGTTAAAATAATAGATTGTTTCCATTGTGTTATGTGTGCGTGTTTTGGAGGTGACTAAAAGCAATTTTGGCTCTTCCGTGGTTAGTATGAAATTTCTGGATTACTCTTTTTTTTTTAGAAACAGCTTTATATATCACATAATCTTTTTTTTTCTGTCAACTATTATCACATAGAAGCGGTATATTGAGGGAAGAGCATGTATTGCCATTTTTATCCCATACTTCAAACTGCCTTTTTTTCCTTACAAGTTTTGAAATAAAAAAATACTCTTTTTTTTTTTAAACGAAGAATATGTTTTTACTATTGCTACCATATATTATATATATATATCAAAAGTATTTTATGAAATAGATAATGCTTGAAACAAGTACTCCAACTCTTAGAATAATTAGAAAATAATGAAAGAAGTAACAGTACGTTATGGACACGAAGGTAAACCTATTTTTTTGTGCTTTTTTATTCTACAAAGAATGGCTGGTCACCTTTGTTGTACGCCAGCAATGGTGGTCACTTTGATGTTGTCAACCTTCTGATCCAAAATAATGCCCGGGTGGATGTATTTGATGAGGTAGGTAAGTTTCTGTTCTTCGAAAACACTTTTTAATGTTTTCATTGGTTTTATCATTTACATGGTAAAGTGATTGAGCTGTTCATCTGGAGGCGATCTAAAATTCCACTTTATTAGAAAAATTCATGACTTTCGCAATAGAAGTTGTTATAAACATTGAATGTGTACCTCATAATTACGTTGTTAGTGTTAGTCAAAGGATGCGAATAAGGTTATTGACAAATTCCAGTTTAATGTTACGAAACTAAAATATAGAGGGCGATGCAAAATACTTTTTTGTTTTCATGTTTGACTTGAACGTTTTAAACATGTAGAGTACAGACAGAATTTGTTGACTTCATGAGTATATAATTTAGTGTGGCTAAGTCTATACTATCAAGTAATTTGAAATGGAAAACACTGTAGCATGGAAAGGCAGCACTCCACCTAGCGGCAGAAAATGGTCATCAGGAAATCGTCGATTTGCTTATCCACCACAAAGCTTTTGTGAACGTTCGTTCAAAGAAGGGGTTCACTTCTCTACATCTCGCAGCAAGAAACGGGCACAACGCCATCGTTCGAGACTTGATCAGAAAATACGGATCTATGGTTGATGCTTTTAGTTTGGTGAGTACGACTGTTCCTAATAAAAAGTGGTTCAAACTCTTCTGTTGCTGATTTTTCCAAGCCTGTTCCTTTGGCTGTGGTTTCGCTAGATAGTAAATAGGGACAGTGGGAATCTCGTTAATCCACTATAACGTAGGCAAACTACTGAATTTAATCTAGAATGAAGGAGATTCTGTAGAAAAAAATTATCTTCAGGAAGTCTTTGTTGCTGTTATTCTTTAGTTATCTGGATCACTAAGAAAACAGGTATGAGAAAGCTGATGGTTATAAGTGTTGTATTCTGGATACCAGAAAATCTGGTAACTAATTACAACAGTCTCGAATGTTTTATAAAATAATGATACGAAAAATTCGCTTACAATTTTAATAAAACTGTTGTTTTTTTTAATGAGGCTCTGTCAACCACCTTAAAATGTGTTATTGTGTCTTAACTTACAGATTTTATGTCCAAATATAATAAATTTGTGTCATGTGTAAACTGTGGTATGCACATGTTCGTAGTGGTTCAGCTACTGGCATTGATTTCTTAGCGCAAAATTAAACAATGGGTTATCTGGACTTTGTCCATCGATCCAGGAGTTTTGCGTTGTAAGCCCGAAGACTTACCTCTGAACCACGTGGGACGATTCGGCTACTATACTTGAGTATAAGTTTGTATCAGTTGCATCAATTAACATTTCACTACATATCAGTTCTAGCCCATCAAAATCGCATGCATCTCATTTGCAACCGATAAAATGTTATTGTACACCTGTGGCATACAATAAAAATAATGGGAGTTACATGTATTTATGAGTCACAAATTTATCTTGATTTTCTATGTTATTTTACTAAATGTTAAGAAACTAGCTATTTGTCCTAATTGTAATCGTTCATTTCCCAACACTATAGTCACAGCAATATAACACCAGTCAAAGCGAAGTAATGTTTGCCACTTTGTCGTGTGAACTAAATCAGTATTTCTCAACCGGTGGGCCACGGCCCACTGGTGGGTCGCAAAGTAATTTGGGGTGGGCCGCGAAAAAGCTTAACATTAGATGTGCTAACTATAAATTAATGTCCCACGCATGAACCCAGCATTTCTGCGTTGGGCTGTTGGAAATTTCTTGAAGTTTAGGTAGGCCGTGTTACTAAAAAGTCTGAGAAACGTTGAACTAGACACCAAACTCTTATAGTTGACAGTGCAACAACAATTCCAATTACTTCATTAGATTCTTGAGTTGTCTTTCAGTGTTCCATTCTTCTTTTGTTTGTAGTTAAGCACAAAGCTACACAAAGGGCTATCTGTGCTCTTCCTACCACGGGTATCGAAACCCGGTTTCTAGCGTTGTAAGTCCGCAGACATACCGCTGTGCCACTGGGAGCCATTCTTCTTAGTTTTCAAAAGTTCCCAATGTTAATAATGTTCATAGACATAGTATGTCTTTACAGAAACTAAAGTATTTGTCATACAAACATAAATGTTTGGCTAGAGTATGTATATGACAAGCATATCCACAATCATGTTAAGAATGTCAAGAAAATGTTTGAATCAGAGTTATTCGAAAACTACTCAACAATTATCTTTTACTTAATTCGTAGTGGTATAAGTGTTACTGACCGATCGATTGGCCTTTTTCAGTAAATCTCTAGTGGAATCAGGGTTATTAAGAACTCATCAGTCCAATATTTTTTGATATATTCATATATATATATATAGTGCAGTCCGGATTATTTATAACGATCAGCACGCGTTCTTCACCTTGAAATACTGGATTCAGTGTATTCATAATGAAGCAGTGGATTCACACTGGAGTCAGAATTGTTCAAAATGACCAACAGTCTTTAATGAGTAAAATCGCTAGTGAAGGCTATTTTAACAACTCAACAAAAGTGTTTTTAATTAACATATTTTAGTTTTACCTGCTCAAAATAGAACATGATTCATTAAAAATAACATCTTAGACATTGATTTTTTAATCATTTATAGACATAGATATTCATTGGAAATTAAAACGCACCACAAGCTTAAATGTGCTGTTTAATCTTGGTAACAAACCACAGCATTTATAAATGTTTCAGGTTTAATCTCGTCAAGAAATTACAGCATTTGTAAATAGGTGTTTCATGTCAATATGTACTACTGATAAAATAAGTTTAAGGCAGCTAAATAGTAGTTCGTCGCTTTATTCTTCGCGTTATCCTTTATTTCCCCCACGTACAATTACAATCTTGGAGGAACGTAACATTTTATGTTCTTACTTGTATATTTCAGTTAAGAAACTTGTAGGTTAGTGGGTTAGAGTAATGTTAATTTTTAAAGAAAAATATAGTGGTTTGAGAAAAATGCAACCTCCTTTGCCTGTATGGGCTTTTTCTTGTTTTCAGACGAAACAAACTGCTTTGCATTTAGCAGCAGAGCGTGGAAACTTAGATGTGTGCAACACTCTACTAGATGCCAATGCTAATGCTAGTTCTATTGACAACGTAAGCACATTTCTCTCATTATTTTCTCCGTTTTATGTAATGATGTGCAAAATGTTTGTTTAATGTAGCCATTAGATGTGCTCCTCTATAAATATATAAAGTACTTGTTAATATTTTCCCGCAGGAAAAAAGTGTTATTGAAACACTACTTTGCTGTATACTTTTTTGTTGTATTGTTGTTGGTGGTGAAAAAAATTAGGCCTAAAAGTTAATTTAATTACTGATATAGAAGATAAAAATTCATTGATCCTGTGCAAGGTACGACTTTCTTAGTACTTTAGCCACACGAATTTTTGTCATATTACAAAATTAATTCAAACATTTATTATGTTACAGAAAATAGCTGTTCAATTAAACTGTCATTGCTACTAACAGGATTTCTTAAAACAAACAAAAAAAAAGTACGAGTAAGGTTTGACTATGTCTTTTACATCAAACATATGAGTGAACTCTATCCAATGAAATGAAAGAGGCTAACATACTGCTAATCCGGTATCAGTTGTTTATAGAAGGAGGTGACTGTGACCTTTTTGTATACCATTATATTGCCTGCTACTTAGGATGGACAAAGCCCTCTTTTGTTGGCTGCGCAGAATGACCACTCTGAAGTAGTGAAGTTATTCCTGAGACACCAGCCTCAGCTAGTATCTGTGGCTAATACGGTAAGTATAAAAATTACCTCAGTGTCAAGTAGTCGGTCAGATTAAGTATATTTAGACTTCAACTGATTCAATGTTATATAATCTAATTAATTAATGACTGGCTTTTTCTTTGAATGAAGGTGAAAGAATGCAATATGAAATTATAGTTTTTAAATCATGAATCTTATATCGTATTTGCATAAAGACATGGAAATAAAACAACAGGATACTTGGTTCCCTACATAAAGACATGAAAATAAAACAACAGGATACTTGGTTCACTACATAAAGACATGAAAATAAAACAACAGGATACTTGGTTCCCTACATAAAGACATAAAATAAAACAACAGGATACTTGGTTCTCTATATAAATACATGGAAGGAAAACAACAGGATACTTGGTTCCCTATATAATGACATGGGAGTAAAACAACAGGATACTTGGTTCCCTATATAAAGACATGGAAGTAAAACAACAGGATATTTAATTCCTTGTAGTAAGACGTGTAAGTAAAATAACAGGATACTAGATTCCATATAAAATATAATATTTAGGGACAATAAGGGACCTATTGGTCCATCTAGGATGTCCCATCTCTGAACTTAACTAAAACTATTAAATAAAAAAATAAACCTAAAATCCACCCTTATCATTCATATAGTTATCAAGCTTTCTCTTAAACTCACATAAATTTACTGTCTCCACGACAACCCATTCCAAAGGCCAACCACCCTGTTAGAAAAGTAAAACTGTCATAGCTGAAGATGACTCAAACTCTGCCAAAATTTATATTTGTGTTCCTTAGTCCTACCATTTTCATGATCAAGGTGTAACGATCTAAAATGAACACGCCACTACAATCAGTGTTCAACAACAAAAGGCCCGGCATGGCCAGGTGGTTAGGGCACTCGACTCGCAATCTGAGGGTCGCGGGTTCGAATCCCCGTCACACCAAACATGCTCGCCCTTTCAGTCGTGGGGGCGTTATAATGTGACGGTCAATCCTACTATTCGTTGGTAAAAGAGTAGCCCAAGAGTTGGCGGTTGGTGGTGATGACTAGCTGCCTTCCCTCTAGTCTTACACTGCTAAATTAGGGACGGCTAGCGCAGATAGCCCTCGTGTAGCTTTGCGCGAAATTCAAAACAAACAAACAAACAATCAACAACAGAAACACAATTTATTCACAATATCACCACTTAGAAATAAATTCAACACTGTTAATAAACAAATACCTGTCCAGGGCTTCAAACCAATATGAATAAACAATTTATCATAAAAATTAATAAATCAATGATAAATAGAACCAGGAAAAAGAACCAGAAAGAAAAAAT